AGATACCTCACTCAGCATAATGTCCTCCAGGGTCACCCATTTTGAATAATATTGCATGAGTTCCTTGTTTTTCAATGCAGCATAATATTCCATTGTGCGAATATACCACATCTTCTCTACCCACTCGTTTGTTGATGGGCATCTGGGTTGTTTCCAACTACTTGCTATCTTTGGGTTGGCAGCAAAATCCTTACCCACTAGAACACCAGAGCTCCCTCATAATCCAAACGTTTGCTTTATCATTTTCTCTCTCTATAGTATTGCTGTTATTATCATTGCTAACACACTTTTGAATGTCATGATCCTTTACCCCTAAATACATTAGCACAAAAACAGGCAGTTATCTTAAGTAACCACAGTGCCGTTACAAATACAGGAAATTTAACACAGATACAACACTCACGATATAGATTCTCAATTCTTTAAACTTTCATTAAAATTAATTTTTAAAAATACCAAGAAAAAAGATTACTTCAATAATGTTTTTGCATATCTTCTTTCCCTGGCCTAAGGTAGAATGACACATTAATTACCATTAGAATTATGCTGAAAGAAGGTATCTTAAGATTACTTATTTATGGCAATTTCTTGAAAAATTACTTCAGAAATTTTACTACTTTCAGGAAGTCCTCCTAAACCAATTAGTCAACTAAAAGCCACAGTACAGCCTTCAACTGTACATCTACTCTGGGGAGATCTACACTCAGAAGTTACATCCAAAAGACAGGAACTCGTCCTATTCGTTTTTGTATTACCAATACCACTTATCTTGAAGTTTTACAAGAGATAAGACTGAACTCAATAAATATCTGTTAAATTTAAATGTTCTGCATTTATCTCAACTCTTTCCCCGTACATACTGAGAAATGAAAGACCCTGAAATGTTGGCTCCAAATCATATCCACTAATGACACAGATCCCAGTATGATGCATAGTTACTGGCAGGGGCAGGGCTCATATCCTTACCCTCTAATTCCAAGGCAAGTGTTAATGTACTAGGAAGACACCTATATTTAATTCCACTTAAAAAAAAGATGACCCATCATAGTGTGGAATTTATCAAATAATATCATTAATATCACATGCAGGCAACATCCTGGTTAAAATTATAAAAAATTACTTGAACAGCACATCAGTAGAGATATGCCAGAGGTGCAGGCTGGGTTAGGAGGAGGCCATGGCACTAGGGACATTACAGTTAAAAGCAGAGAGTACCAGAGGAATGTCTATCTGTGCTTCATTGACTATGCAAAGGCCTTTGACTCTGTGGATCAAAACAAACTGTGGCTAACTCTGAGAAGGCAGTCATCAGAACAGAACAAGTAAATACTGCATGGTTCAAAATAAGGAAAGGTATGTGCCAGGGATGCATCCTACCTCTATACCTTTTTAACCTATATGCAGAACAGATCATCTGGTAGGCTGGGCTTTATGAGGAGGAATGTGACATCAAGATTGGAGGAAGACTCACCAACAACCTGCATTGTGCAGATCTCATAATCTTGCTTGCTGAAACTGAGGAGGATCGGAGGCATTTGCTGCAGAAAGTCAAGGACTACAGCCTTCAATATGGATTAAAGCTCAACATCAAGAAAACAAAGATTCTGACCCCTGGGCCAATTGGCAGCACCATGATAGACAATTAAAAGGCCGAGATTGTTAATAGCTTCAGCTTGTGTGGTTCCACAATCAACACTCTTGGTACCAGCAATCAGGAAATAAAAAGATTAATTGCATTGGGAAAATCTGCTGTCAGGGGCCTCTCCAGATACTGAAGAGCAATGATGTCAGTCTACAGACTAAGGTGTACCTGGTCCAGGCCATGGCCTTCACAATTACTTGATATGTATCAGAGAGCTAAACAATGACTAAGGATGATAGATGATAGAAGAAGAATCAATGCCCTTGAGTTGTGGTGCTGGAGAAGAATATTGAATATATCATAGACTGCTAAGAGAATAAACAGATCCATCCTGGAGAGTGTAAAACCAGGCTGCTCCTTTTGAGGCAAGGATACTGAAGCTCCATCTGACATACTTTGGGCATGTTTCAAGCAGGGACCAATCCTTGGATAAGGACATCATGATGGAGGGACAGTGCAAGAGAAGAAGACTCTGGATGAGATGGACTGACTCAGAGACTGTGGTATTGGATGTAGGGGTATCAGAGACAACAAGGTTGGCTCAAGTATAGGAGGGTTCAGAGCTGTTGTACATAGGGTCATTATGAGTTGGAGTTGACTCAATGGCACATAACAGGTTTGCATGCAGTATCGAAGGGATGGCTTAAAGAGCATGGTTATATTTGTAGGAAAATATATAATGAACCATTTTCATTAAGATGATCACTTCTGGGTGGTAGTATAGGAATCCACTCAAACTCAATTCATTGCAGAATACATGGACACCGTGAGATTCCTTCTCAGCATGGAATAGACATTGGGTATAGTAAACACCTGAAATTTTAAGGATGACCTCCAAGGTTCATCTAGGCAGATTACTATGAGAGAAATTCCATAGGTATAATCCTTATACACTGTAGGCCTCAATTTGTTCATCTATATAATAGGGTTGTAAAAGGATGACTGTATTAAACATAATATAGTAGGATGTCATCCTAAACATTATATGTGCATGAAACTTTCTCCAACAATGGGATTTCCCCCCCTCCAGAATAAAAATCACCTAGCAATCACCAAAGAAACTCTCAAAGAGAGGTTAGCATGATTCAGCTAGCACATTTTTAAAAATTTTTATTTTATTATTTTTTGTGTATTAATTTACTTGGCTCCACAGTCAACACTCTTGGTAACAGCAGCCAGGAAATCAGGAGACGAATTGCTTTGGGAAAGTCAGCTGTGAGGGACCTCTCAAGAGTACTGAAGTGCAACAGCGTCAGGCTGGAGACTAAGGTGCACCTGATCCAGGCTATAGTCTTTGCAATTACGTGCTATGCATTGGAGAGTTGGACAGTGAATAGGGATGATAGAAAGATAATTGATGCCTTTGAGTTGTGGTGCTGGAGAAGAGTGTTGAATATACCATGGACTGCTAG